GACATTTTATACATATTTTTTTAAATGCCCAATGTTAGAGGGGCCACCGGAGTACATGTAACTTTATCTAAATTTTAACCCGACCAATTTGAACAGAAACGTTTTTTACAACTTTTGCCCAAAAACGTATTTAAAGGGTGATTGTGTATGAATTAAACTAATTTTTATTTTAATAGTTAATTTTGAAATAATGTTGTATGTTAGTTGTTAGTGGATATATTAAAATAATATTTAAATAAAATAATTAAAATTGATTTGATATAAAGTATGAGAAAAAAAATATTAAAAGTGATGATTAATTAAAATTATGTGAGTGGATGAATAGTGAACTAAAAGTTTATGTAATGTAAAAATGATTGGTTGATATTATTTTAATTATATTCATAATATTGAGGATAGTGAGGTTGAGTTAAATTTAAATTTTGATTGATTTTTTATTTTTGTATTTTATTTTTTTTGAATTGATAAACAATTACCTTAAGTGATTTTGTAATTAAAAAAAATAAAAATAAATTGCGCCATTTGCTCCAGCGGAAGATATTTTTATCACAGTACCATAGTTCAAACCAGGCACTTCTCAAGGGGGAGAAAAAGTTAATAGCATCGGCCATGGCGTTAGAGCAAACCCTAGCTGTAAAGAGCCACATTCTCCTCTATCACCAAACTCGCCCAACTGCTTCGTCCCCAATTTTCACACTCAACCCTAAAAATCGGAGAAGTTCATCCCGCATAAAGTGCTCGTTCGACTACAACGGCAGCGGTACCGCCGCGAACAACGGCAGCGGGTATTACGAGTACGAGCGAGGTGCGGAGGCTTCCGCGGTGGCGGAAAACATGCAATACCCTAAGCCGGCGGAGATTCAGTGGAATAAGGAGCTCTGCAACAGGGTGCAGTTTATTGGTGTAATTGCGGCTCCGGTTCAGATTAAGCATTTCCCTTCAGGGAAAGTTGTGTCTAATTCTCGTCTTACCGTGAAGACAAACAAAACTGATACAGTTCGGTGGGTCTTTTTGTTCGTTCATTCTATTTATTAATGTTTTTCTTTATTCTGTTTGTTAATTTTTATTACTCTTTCCAGTTTGTATTTGTGATGTGATGCTCTGTTTTGTGTGACAAGTGGTGGGATGAGCCATGAGGTGAAGGAAATTGCGATTTTGAGCTCTCCTTTATTGGAGTTTGCATTCGAAGCTCGTGCTATTAGGTGCTATAGAAACGAAAAAATGAATAACTTGAGATAGAGTTTGTTCGAAACAAAGTTAAGCAAGAAATATATGGAATCGAGGCATATACAGTCTCATATGCTGGCAAGTGGCAAGCATAATCCACTTTGCTAATGGATTTTTTCAAGTTTTTCATATTATAGCAAGATTTTTCCTAATGGAGGTTAGGAATCCTAAAATGGAATTAGAATAGTTTGTTCCATGTGGTTGAGATGCTTTGCTAGTTTGCCTTGTCGCTCGTGTTTACTTTTCAAAGTTTTTATTGCACTTTACTGTCTTCAAATAGAATGATAGTTTCTTTCAACGTTACAGAAGTGAAGGATTTAACTGGCCTCTCAGTTGAAATCTTATTTGTCGTAGATCCATCATGTTTTTTTGTTCCCTGCCACGCTTAACATGATTTGATGATATATTTAATTTTATTTTTTTCCTAGCAATAGTTTTAAACAGCTAGTGAATATTTTTCAGGATAAGCTTGGCTTTCTGGAATGAGTTGGCCGAAGTTGCTTTTCAGCATGTCGAAATAGGTCAGCAAGTATATGTCGCTGGTCGCCTAGTTGCAGACACAGTTCAAAATGATAATGGGATGTCACAGACCTACTATAAGGTGTCTTGGTTTTCTTTAATATATGTTATTCCTAGTTCTAATAGTAATTAAAGTATATAAAGTAGGTCATTGTATTATTTGTAACAGGTAATTGTAAAGGAGCTGAATTTTATTGAAAGGAGCCAAACCCAATCGTCCACTCCATTATACTATGGGGATTCTAACTCTGCGAGACAAGGTGATTATTTAGGCATATGTTTTTCCTATCTATTATTGTGTTTCGTTTTAGATTTTGATTTTCATTTTCTCTGATTTGTAGGCAAAAAGCAATACCCTGCAAATTCAACTGGTTTAGTAGAAGGACTCTGGCAAGCATTCTTTGCTAATCCAACGGAATGGTGGGATAATAGGAAGAACAAGGTAACTCTTTTTTAGTCCAGGCCTAAAAATTAACTTGAGACATTTTAAAGAAATCTTCATGAATTGATGACGGCGTGCTCAGAAACTCGAAATAGTCACTTTTGCATGCATGGAGAGTCGTAATTTCTTTTCCTATCCTTTTTTTATTTTAAAAAAGCTTGCGATTCATTTAATCTATTGTTCACCTCTCTTATTGGTTAATGTTTCTGGATAAAACATAATTTACGCCTATTGCAATCACTAGTCTTGAGATTATAACATAGACCTAACTATCTGTGTGTACAATGCCCTTGATATTCTGTTTTCTTACCCACGCACCTTCACCCACCTCCCAAAAAAAGGAAAAATTGTCCATGTTTCAAAATTAGGAACTCCATGATGCTACATCTATGTTACCAGTTTAATTGTCTGAATGTGGATACATTAAGAGATGGCATGCTTAAGGGGGTGCTTTGTTTTTTATAGTATGTTACAGATACGTATAATTTTGTAAAAAATAAGCTTTTCGTTTTAATTAGACTAATGGATTACATCTGTGTGTACAATGCCCTTGATATTCTGTTTTCTTACCCACGCACCTTCACCCACCTCCCAAAAAAAGGAAAAATCGTCCATGTTTCAAAATTAGGAACTCCATGATGCTAATCTATGTTACCAGTTTAATTTTCTGAATGTGGATACATTAAGAGATGGCATGCTTAAGGGGGTGCTTTGTTTTTTGTAGTATGTTACAGATCCGTATAATTTTGTAAAAAAATAAGCTTTTCGTGTTAATTAGACTAAACATTTTGGGCGAGCTTTTGTTAACTTTACCCTTCTACTCATCCATTTGTGTTGAAACCATATCTCGATCATTTCTTCTTGCAGAGCTTTCGATTTATAATATTTTAATCTGCAGAAAAACCCAAGCTATCCAGATTTCAAGCACAAAGATACCGGTGAATCATTGTGGGTTGATGGTAGGTATAATCCATCATGGGTAAAATCCCAACTGGATGTGCTCGACTCCAAAATGGAATCATTTCGTGAGCAAAACTCGAGCGCATATCAAAATTTCATGTCTGTGGATAATCTTGGGCCCTTCTGATGAGCAAAACTCGAGCGCCCATCAAAATTTCATGTCTGGATAAACCTTGGGCCCTTTTAGTTTGCTATCCATGCTTGCTGAGATAAATTTTCCTAAGCTGATGGTTTTGCTTCTGCACAGGTTTTCACTGTACTACTGTTAACCGCACTTTTGATCGACTGCATCTTGATTTCATCTTTATCCGTGTACTATTATGTTGTGAAGTATTGTAGTGTTAGTTGGCGTTTGTCTGTTACGTACTAACAAGCGGCATTGCAGTTGTTTAATTCTTCTCTATTACGCGCATTTATGTTCACTTCATTAATTCATGATCTTACATACCCTAACAAATTAAAGTTGTAAATTACCAAATGCCATGTGGGAGTAAAGTATTTTAAGTTGTGATGATTTTAATTTTTGAATTTAGATATATTGGAATCGGTGTGTTATCAATTATTGGTCTCGACTCAACAAACTCTAGATCGTGGCGGGAGGATTTCATATAATAGCTGTTTGTATTTGTATGATCCATAATCTCTTAATAGAAAACAAAGCATTGTAAGAACAAAAAAAATCCAGTTGTCCTATTATTTATTAGGGCTGCAAACAAGTTGAGCGGCTCACGAGCTGTTCGCGAGCGCTCGAGTCAAAGTTTTACTCGAGCTCGAGTTTGACCGGGTCAAAATCGAGTTCGAGCCTAAACTTTGCATTGTCGAGCGGCTCGATATATATGTGTGTATATATATATATATATATATTAAATGGTATAACACAAGTGCTTAATGATAATTTCATTTAAAAAATTTCGAGCCGAACTCGAGTCGGGCTCGAGCATTTGATTCCGAGTCGAGCTCGTGCCAAACCGAGCTATTGTATTTTCTTATCGAGTCGAGCTCGAGCCTCAAAAATTGAGCTCGAACAGCTAAAAAAAATATTCAATCCTGCTCGATAATGTCAATGCTCGACTAGACTCGGCTCATTTGCAGGCCTACCTATTACTCAATAACATATATATAGATACTAAGCAGTTACATGTAAATCTTTTCCATGATAATCTGCAGAATATTGCAAAGGAAACAAATGAAGAAAGCACAAAGATCTGTCTATCATTTATACAACAACAAAACAAGAAGAAAAAAGAAAAAAGATGTTCAAATCCATCCCCCTTACACTTTCCCATTTTATAGGGACAAGGATAATAAAAGTCCTATGAAACTGTTTATATATTCTGTTTGAATTTTCTTGGAAAAAAAAAAAAAAAACAAGACTTTGGTGAAGTGTTAGCATATATCTAAAGGCAACCTAATCCTTTAGCTTCAGAGCCTTTCATAATCCTCAGCTTCTTGCAAGAACTAATGAACATATCCCATGGGACATCTCCAACTAGCATCCAATCTCCATCTTTGTCTTCATAAGTTGGTACAAATTCAGATCCATTGTACCCTTCTCTCTCTGAGTACACCCCTGAAAATATTTTACAACCAAAAAAATAAAAAATAAAATAAATAAGTAGCCCTTTCATAATTTGTAAAATACAAGGAAAAAAAAAATTTATATATATATATATATTTGAATTTTATTACCTATGGCACAGTTGAACATGCTCTCTAAGGCCTTGAGAAGATCAGAGTAGTTTTTGTAGAATTTGAGATCAATCTTTCTTAGATATGGAGCTCCATCCATGCTCACCTTCACAAACATACCCGACCCATCGGTTCCGGGTTCGGTTTTTTTCATCACATTTTTCCTGTAAGATCTAACTGGTGGCCAGCCAACCATTTGTGCCCTGAAAAAAAATTACATAAAATATTAAGATAAACACAAAATTCTCTTTTTGAGGCAATTTAACCATTATGCGAGTCGATCTAACATACTTTCTCAACCAAAAATGCATATCAGTTTGAAAGTATGGCTACATGCTAACCGTTATGTCTGCCTAACATAAGACGGGTTTTTTTTTTGTTATGTTAACCTTAATTTGTACCATGAAGAATTCTCATAATAGTTTAATATTATTAGCTTCTTCAACTTACTTTGGAGGTGGGGCAACAAATTCTTTCTTCTTCCCATGATCTTCTTTTCTTGTACTATGATCCATTTGTGATGAAGGCCTCTTGTTAATGTTCTTTAGATAAGAAAAAGGTTGCTGCTCAGCTTCATCATCTTCTCTTCCAGGCAATCCTAACCTCAGCTCAGTTGCCTTCAGATTTAAATCTTTTTCGAAAATCGATGCCGATTTTTCCATATTTTCACCCTTCTAATTACTAATATTCCTTTCCCTTTCTCCTCAAATTTCCACTTCAAATGTATATACTTTTTTTTTTTTATTTTACTTTTTTTTTTCCCAGCAAAATGTATATTGAATGAAAGTCTGTGTCAAATGGGGCACAAGTTTTATAGAAGTTTTTTTAGGTGAATGAATAAGACAGTGTGTCTGGGCCTTATTCTCCGTGTGCATCATTTACATGACACTATTTTATATTATATATTTAATAATAATAATAAAAAAAAACTACTCATTCCCCAAATAGTTTTGGATTTTCACTAATTATTTCTATATTAAAGTTACAGGAAATGCTACCGTCCGTTACGGAACCATTCCGTCGAGATTTGTAACCGTGAGATAATCATGTAACCGTCGTGGATAGTTGATCTAACGGTTACAAACCCCGACAGAATGGTTCCATAAGAGGACTGTAGAATCTCCCATATTAAAGTTATTTTGAGAATCGCTTGTCTGAACTTTACTCTGCGCTTTCTTTAATGTCTAAAGTCGCTACAAAATCTGCTAAATAAATTTTGTGCTTTATTCAATTTGTTCTACAAGATGGTTTTGTGGCAAAAATTAGTGTGGGATAATTTATAATTTTTCCTTTATATATTCTGTGCTTTTTTTCAGTTTGTTCAATTATATTATATATAAGGTGGTTTTGTCACAAAAAAATAATGTGTATATATAGTATTGTTATCATCCGACTCGGCAAGACGCTGTTAAGAGATTTTAAGCATCCTATTAAAC